GCACCCTTTGCAGCTATAACAGCGTCAACTCTTCTGGAAAGGCTGTCCACAAGGTTCAGGAGTGTGTTTATGGGAATTTTTGACCATTCAAACCGAGGCAATTTCACGACTGGATTTGTTGCAGAGATCCTATCACAGTTCCACGCTGGAATTCACTGAGCTCCTGAGAGCGACCCATTCTTTCACAAATGTTTGTAAAAACAGTCTGCATGCCTAGGTACTTGATTTTATACACCTGTGGACATGGAAATAATTGGAACACCTGATTCTGATTATTTGGATGTTTGAGTGAATACTTTTGGCAATATAGTGTAGTTTTAGGTTTGGGGCACATTGAATTTTGCCCTTGAAATACTATTATTTTGGGGAACTGCATTGATTGCCTTTGGGTTGCAATTCAGTAAGCTGATTGTCACCTTTAAAGCTGCTGTATTCGTATTTCAGGGACTAGATACGTATTAGACTAGTTTCTCTCGATTGAATCTGTTTACCCAGTGAAATCAGAAAGAAAGAACTTGCTGAAGGTTCCTTGTTTGAGGGAATGGCACATAATGGGACTTGGGGAGTTGCCAGTGGTGGCCTCTTTTTATAGAACCTTTTCTTGGATGTTCGGTCCTCCTCCACCTTATGAAGGGTTATAAAGATTCTGCTCTTTAGGAATGCCTTTGGATATGGAGATCTTTGGCCTATGCTTATAGCTAGCACTGACATAGTATATTGGCTGGTGCTTTGTGTTTCCAGTCTTTTTAAACCCATGTTTTTTGTCTTCCATAAGTCACTTAGCACTAGTATAAATGTAGCAGCACAGGCCAGCAAATATGTACCATACTTTTCGGAGTATGACACATTGCCCCCCACCCACCCATTTTTGGCCTCCTAAAACCCTGCCCCCCTCCTCCCGCAGCCCATTTTTGCCAAAAATGGGGCATGCAGAGGGTTTGGGAGGCCTGCAGAGTGCTTCTGGGGTCCAGGGAGGGCAAAAACTATTTTTTTCTTGTTTTCCTCTTCAAAATCTTGATACGTTTTATACTCTGGTGCATCTTACAGTCTGAAAAATACGGTACATTGATAAATAATAGTGCAAACAAGAATGTTAACCTACCAAGTGGACTGAGATGATATTTCTCATTGATGTAGCATTCATCACTTTCCTGAAGAGCATCAGAAAAAAAATACTGACACACAGACTATCATGGTTCAGTAGTTTGTATTCTGGCACTACATTTGTTCTGCACAATGTAAACAAAGCTCTGGGGTCTAGCTTACTTGTGGCTATTTTTCATGAGTCACCTCTAGCCGGTAGCTTTGTGTAATCTGAACTAATTCAGTGATTCTGGAAATGTATCAAGCTTGGAACAATTATTTTGAGGCTAAAATACCCTGCTTCAGACTGCAATAACTTTCAGAATGGTTGAAATCACTTGTTTCAAGAATGTGAAATCATTGCTTTGAACATGAAATGGGGCACTTTGAAGTTGAAATAGTGTGACTACCCCTAAGAAGCCTGGGTCTAGCACAGGGGTCAGCAACCTTAAACACTCAAAGAGCCACAAAGTCCTAAACGGAAGCCCCCCTACTTCAATTATGGAGCTGATCGGAAGTCCGGTTCCCACCACCATCACCATAGAGTCCCCTCCTAGTGCGGCATCCTTTTTCCTCTACCTGTCCTAACTGAAAGACTTATCAATTGTGGAGCCGACTGGCGACGGAGCCGCAGCAGAGGGATAAAAGAGCCTTATGCGTCTCCAGAGCTGTAGGTTGCTGACCCCTGGTCTAGCAGCATAATCTATGGATGTTGATAGTCGTTTGGCAATACTTTTTTTAAGGGAACTGAGACTGTTTATTCTTCTTCCCAATGATAGACTACAGCGTGAAGAAGAAGAGGCCTATGCTAATACTCAGCACACTCAGGGGGCTCAGTCGCTTACTTTCACAAAATTCGAGGAAAAAAAAACAAGTGAGAAGCTGCGGAAAGTGGCAACAGTGAAGAAATTCTTTGGAGCATCTTCGCGTCCTGGAACTAAGAAGGGTAAGATGGACATAAGAAATAAAAGAGAAATGTTTGCTTCTTAAAGACATTATTAAGGAAGAGGGTGCTGGGAAGGTACTGATCTGATTCATCGATCCTCTCCTTTCTTGTGAGCATCTGCTTTGGGCATTCTGCCATCTAAGTCATTTCCTTTGGAATCTTCTACTATTATCTGGAAAGTAGAAGTTTCATAGTAATAGAAGGCTCTAGACTCTAGAGCAGCGATGGCGAACCTTTTTGGGCTCCTGTGCCAAAAGCGGGGGGAGCGCAAGGGGGCTGTACACAGTCGTGCCATACCTATAATGCTGTCTGCGTGATCCCCCTTGGATATGCGTGTGCACACCCTGTGCATGCGCACGCAATCCCCCTCCCCTTTTGGCCTGCGATAGACCCGTTTTTCGCCCTCCCCAGGCTCCAGAGGCTTTCAAGGAGCTTGGGGAGGGCAAAAACAGCCTCCCCCACCCTCCTGAGTTCTTTGCTGTCTCCTGGACTGCACTGGGGGTGACTGAACAGCCTGCTCTTGGAAATGGAGGCTGTGGCCAATGAGCTTAGCCCTCGGCTCTTGCTCCGCCTGCCCAGGAGACGGAGCCCAGGAAGGAATATAACGTCCATTTTGGAAGGAATGGACCCAGCACCTTCCACTTACATCCACAGCAGCTGTGCCTACTGCGCCCCGCCGCCTTCAGAGGCAACAGAGGAAGGCGCTTCTCTTGGTGGAGTGGCCGAGCTGGGCGGCGCTGGGCCCCAAGCCTCGCGATCACCCCGCCCAGCACACAGACTTTGTCTCTATTGCGGCCTGCGAAGGCCCGCGCTTTGGCCAGCCAATGCCCTGGGAGACCCATTTCCTGGATCCATGTTCCCGACCTGGGTTATGGGGCAAGCACTGGGCATTATCCTCTGCCCCCTACAATGATGTTGCCACCTCTGCCGGGCGTGTTGCCTACGTCCATGCCACCGCGCCTCAGGTCCCAGTAGTCATTCCACCTGTTCTATTAGATGCACCAGAAGAATTGCAATCGGTGTCTGCCCCACCCACCTCCCCCATGGCAGCTTCTCCTTCTGGCTGCTCCAGCATCCCAGCCAGAAACAGCACTGTGACAGCCGCAGAAGATGAGGGGGCGGCAGTGGCAAGGATGGGCAAGGGCTTCCCTCCCTCCCCACCCGAGTGGGCTACTTGCACGGCTCCAGCCCGCAACTCTGATGAGGATCCGCAGTCCGGAGCGCTGCTGCTTCCAGCGGGGATATATTCTGCCAGGCCCTCGGCAGTGTCTTTATGCATGTAGCTCACCTCCCTGCCAGCAGCTCCTCCAGCATCCCGGCTGGAAGCAGCAGTGCAACAGTTACTCTTATCAGGGGTGAAGGGGTGGCAGTGGTGAGAATGGGCGACCGCCACCCTTTCATTCCTTCCCCATCAGCTGCTGTTGTGCTGCCCGGTTGCTCTTGCCCTTCCCCCTGTGGCTGTAGCTGCTGCTCTTCTGGGGCACCCGAGCCAGCCAGGCACTCCAGACCGTAGATCTTCATCAGAGTCGCAGGCTGGAGTTGTGCAAGTAGCCCGCTCCGGTGGGGAGGGAGTAAAGCCCATCCTTGCCGCTGCCGTCCTCTCGCCCCCGGCAGCTATCACAGTGCCACTTCTGGCTGGTGTAGGAGTGGCTACAGGGCCCGGATGGCTGCTCCTGCCTTCCTCTTGTGGCTGCCGCTGCTTTTCTGGGGTGCCCAAGCCAGCCAGGCACTTCGGACTGCAGATGAGCCATGGGCTGGAGGGCTGGGGCCATGCAAGAAGCCTTCTCAGGTGGGGAGGGAAGCCCCGACCACAGCTCTACTCTGCTAAGAAGCGATGGCTGGGAACCCCTCTCCGCGTCTTTTGGAGTTATGGCCGTTGCTCTTCCTGTTGCTGATTTTTGCATGTGCATGCGCACCAGGAACCAGATCACCAAATGGCCAATGCGCATGTGCACCCTGGAAACAAAAAGATCATTTTCCTGGCATGCACATGTGCACCGGGCGGCTCCACTTCTGCTTTCTGATATGTCAATGCCCGTCAAGACCAGCTGGCTGCTGCGCCCAAACCCAGAAGAGCAACTGGTGATGGCTCCGCCTGCCAGGAGAAATGGCTCTGCGTGCTACTTGTGGCACGCGTGCTATAGGTTCGCCATCACGGCTCTAGAGTGTCTTACTTCAGCATTGAAAGCCTTTCACATACACTGCCTTGATTGTTAAAACAGTTGTAGAGCTGGTTAAAATATGCTGTGGAGAAAACTGCAACAACTTTAAGTTGCCAGGGTTGGAGATTCCTGCTCTAGAAAGCCATAAATCCTCAGATTCAGCAAGAGTGGGTCTCCTGAAAATACACCACTGCTGAACTTGAACGCCTTCCGGAGAGGCTTACAGGCAGTTCATAACTTACAACCACAATTGGAGCTGGAACTTCTGTTGATAAGGGATGTAGTTGCTAAATGAGTTCTGCCTGGTCTTGTGAACTTCTTTGTTGTAGTCATTAAGAATCTGGCTTCCCCCATTGACTTTGCTTGTCCAAAACCTCTTTGGAAGTTTGTAAATGGGGATCACCCACCCTCAGGACACTACAACACTCATAAATGCTCGGACCAGTCATAAGTCAGTGCTGTCATAACGTTGAAGAGTTGTTAAACAAATGGTTGTAAGTCGAGGACTACCTGTACATTGGAGGATGGTATGAATGAATTCCAATCTCTTAGTTTTGGTAATTGATGAATATCAGAAGTCAATACTGTGATTAAAGGTGTCCCTTATAGTTGTTTGATTGTGAAACAGCTGGTTGGTTTAGATGCTTTGAAATTCTCATAAACTCATGACCTGCATTTGGATAAACATTTTTTAAGTTACTTTGAAATTCAGAGGGATTTTTCATTCCAAGGGTCATTAGGATAAGCAGCCATAGCTCTGAGACTTTCAGATAGGAAGCTACCTTCAAAGTGATGAATCACTGATAAACATATTGAGCAATAAATTGTTGGAAGCAAACGAGTCTCTGGACTCCAATCTTAAACCATAATTCAGTGTCATGTTTTGTCCTCTGAATAATAAACAAAAATGAATGCTTAAAGTTCAGGACTCTAGATTAAGTAAGAAAAGATTCTTATCAAATCTTTCAGTAGATACTCGATGTCAATCCAAGAAGGGAAAAAGTTAAGGGGAAAAAGGAAGATTTAAGAGACGGGTTTTATTACATTTGTTTGTTGTCCTTACAAAACTGCTTGAGTATGGGCTGATATGAAGAAACTCAAAGGTTTAAACAAAGCAAACATTAGCATGCACAAATAAGAAGGTAGTTCTGAAACACAGAAAAACAACAGCTGTGCAGCAATTTTAAGGGACCTGTGTGAATGAAAGTTTCTTGCGATCTGATGAAAGCAGGTAATTGTATCCCTTTTCTTACTAAAATCAGCACAAATGAGTAGCATATGAAAGCCACATATTAAGTTGTTTTTTATAGGACTGCAAAAAATATTTCTCAATGATTTGTGTTTAAGTACTTTTTACTTAATTTTATAACCCTCTTGTCATATTTTGCTTTACACAAATCAACAATTTAAGGAACAATAAAATGGCAAAATACAACTATCAATTAAATCCAGGAGCAGTTAAAATTTAATTTTACAACAAGATCCAGACAACACCTGCTGGAATAAAACTGCTGCTGATTGAAATAAGCAGTAGTGGACTTTCATGCATTTTGGAAAACTATTTCAAATTCTGTCTACTACAACTGAAAAATATGTATGGAGATTCTCAATCATTCAGGTCATGGTTTTCCCAAAGGTGCTTTTTCCAAAAAGCAATTGGTCTTGCTTGGTTTTTTAAAAAAATATTTCACTTCTTATCCAAGAACTTAAGAAACTTTGGATGAGAAATGAATCGTTTTCAAAGAAAAACAACAGCAACAAAGCCCTGTTGCCTTTTTTTTGGGGGGGGGGGAACCTTTGGGACCACAACTGTAAAAACTAAAGTGTCAGCTTACTATAAATCCAGCAACAGTAGTGGGCCCAGAGAAATGTTTTGAAGGTGATGTGTTCAGATAGGTACACAAGGAATAATAGAAAATTATGCTTACTGTAGATATTGACCTATCTGCTCAATGGCCATAATTAAAATCTTGTCGTACCACTGTCAGCATTTTAACATCTCCTTTCCGCTTTTTGTGTGTGTGTTACTCTTGCCTACTAACACCTGTCATGTGCATGTGCATTTTGGAATATTAAATCAACCTTTAGAGCTGGTTGCATGTTTCCCCAAAACTGCTTGTTTTCACGTGTCACCCATTCTGCGCTTATTACATGTTTTGAAATATGTTTTCCCTTCTTCAGTCATCACTTTCAAAGTGTTTGACCACTCCAGATGTCCAAGCTATTATATACTGTCATCTCTTTCTGTAGACCACACCAGGAACCATAGATCCGTTGCCTCCCTTCTTCTTTATTTCCCCTGTTGCCTGTGGCTATCCTGCTTGCTGTTTTGCATTTGCTCTGTCTAGCCATTCAGGAATCCAGTTTTAAGGCTGAACAGCTTGAGGAAGAAGTCAGTGCTGATAATCTTCTAAGGCATTTGAAGGAGATGTTTACTCCGTCTTGGGAGCTTGCTTCTCCTGCTGAAGGTAATCCAGCATAGAGGGTCAAACCATGTGCGTGCTTGTTTTAGTGGCTTTGCAGAATCCAAGCTAGAATTATGCCAGGAGTAACTTACCGTATCTTCTAAACCTAAATAGTTATGCTAGGGAGAAGTACAGACAAAAGAAGGTTTTTAAAAAAATGGAGCCTAAACCTAGTTTCCCCCCCACTTCAACAGGAAATACTGTAAAGTCTACTTAAATATTTGCTTGGTTAAGTTATAAAGGAACCCTTGTATCTATTAATATTCAAGCAAAGCTAAAAATTGACAAAATCTTGATCATTTCAAATCTAAATATTTGAATTTTGACTATGTAAATTTGATTAATAAAATATTTTTTTGAAAAGGCAAATTGTAAGGCACTTTCTTGATCAATTAGATCAAAATTTTGCTGAGGCCATAACAGTGGAAAAACGGAAATTACTCATGTGTTTTGACTCGGGTTATTTTCTTTGATGCAATGAAAGAGAATCTTTGTGAAGACTTGAATAAGGCTGAGTGTTTCCTCATTTTGGGAGGTAGTCATAAGTGTTCTATTTTTTGTTTTGATTGATCGTTTAAGTGACATCAAATAAATGCCTAGAGATCACATAGAAACAAATGTATTTTTGCTAGCTTTTGGAAGATTCTACCTTCTCTGGTTACAAGAAATTTAGCTGATTGTTCCTCTTGCTTCTAAGATTTCAGTGGAGATTATTCACACAATTTCAGCATATTTTTCCATCCAAAACTAGATGTGTACTCTTAAAAAAAGCGAAGCTGTATGTATAGTATAAAATCTTATGCTTTTTTTTTTTTTAAACACTCCCATTGGGATTAGGAAACACTCAGCCTTATTCAAGTCTGTACTATAGACAGACTTGTTACTGTACTGACTTTCGGTGAGAACCAATTTTAACAGAAATAGTTTTCTAAGGGATTTCAGATGCATCCCGTGTTGCTTTTCCTTATTTTCATTCATTTTGGCTGATTATTTATGGCTTCCTTCAGCTCTCGGCCAAGTGTTTTAAAGACTGTTCAAATTGGGTGCTGTATATATTTGTAAGGCAGATAGTTTTGATGAAAGATTCAGATTTTTTTCTGACTTTTATCATAACAATTTATTCTGTATGCAGCCAGGTTTTCTTTTAAAAAAAATATCATTCAGCCAGAAGATGCTGGAGGTACCAGCCTTTACACCTCCCACATCTATTACTATGATAAAAAAAATCCAAATGTTTTAAATTACTTTTTCACTCAGCCTTTTTCAACCATAACTTCCAGAGTTCTCAAGTAGTTCTCCTGATTACCTGTTAGCATCAGGAGCACATTATTATATGGAAGTTCATTTTCTCGAACAGTATGAATGTTAAACGTCAAGTAGGTAATATTAAATGTGCTGTGTAGCTGATTTGTCACATCCTTTTTAAAATGCAGTTAGAAAAGACAGTGAAGACTGCAAAGAGTGTTTTGCATCTTTAAAAAATACTGACTACTCTAAAGTGCAAGATTCAGTTAGGAGCATTTGGCTTATCTTGTCTAGGCTCAGAGGCTACTGAAGGCCATCTTAATCTCTTAGCCAAATATTGACTATTGGAAAAAGCAGAACTTTGGGAAGTCAAAAAGTGACCTTGAAGAAAGCACTTTGCAACCCACTTCCATAACGCTGCTGAGAGAACTTTTGGGTGTGTCCATGGATTCACGAGACGTAGAGCTCGATTTACAGGAGAGTTGATTTTTTTCAAAGGCTTGATTGCTCTCACACACTAAACGCAGCCTTCCCCAACCTGCAGACTTCCAGGCTTATACTATCTCCAATAGCCAGAATATATTTAATAGAGGCAATTGCGAAGTGGAAATGTATTCTAGTATTATTAGAAATCACTGAATTAAGCAAAAATGCCCAAGAGTTTTGAGAAAATAGTACTGAAGAAGAATACCTACCGTAAATATTTGATAGTACTGGAAAAATTGACACTTTCTGGAATGTCCTGATCACTTATCTGTAAAGAAGATGGCATAATTATACTGCGGAAATTTGGATGGTTCAGAAACTGACATGAAAGAGGTGGACTACTTTAACCTACTATATTTGCCTTGTAAACACAATTCATTTTGTCAGTATTCATGTTCAGTTTCTAGGGGTGAGAAAGGTTCAGTTAGCAGATGTGGTGCTTAAATTGTTAGGATAGCACCTGGGAGATACATAGAAGTTCATTGCTCCTCCTAAGTGAAGTATCGCACAGGAATGGTTGGAGTAGGGAGAACTTGGGGGAACGAATCCTATATATATTTGACTCATATAAGGATCTAATAATTGTATAAATATGGTGCTGGAGAAGACTCCTGCGAGTCCCTTGAACTGCAAGGCAATCAAACCAATCAGTCTTAGAGGAGATCAACCCTGATTGCTCTTAAGAAGGCCAGATCCTAAAGATGAAAGTCAAATACTTTGGTCACCTAATGAGAAGGAAGGACTCACTGGAGAAGAGCCTAATGCTGGGAAAGATTGAGAGCAAAAGAAGAATGGGACAACAGAGAATGAGGTGGCTGGATGGAGTCACTGAAGCAGTAGGCGTGAGCTTAAATGGACTCCAGAGGATGGAAGAGGACAGGAAGGCCTGGAAGAACGTTGTCCATGGGGTCGCGATGGGTTGGACACAACTTCGCAACTAACAACAACAATAAATATAAATCTAATAAAAACAGATAAGTGGTAGCCAATAATTTCATCAAACCAACATACCTGCTATCTTAGACCCTATTGTTGTCATGTTGCAGTGGAACAAGTCACTTAAAAAGGATGATGCATGTTTTGTTATCCACCGAAGATAAAAGAACAGAGGGCAGACTATATATAAGTAATGTATTAGCATCTTGAATTAGGCTTAGAAAACAACCAAAGCAGCTGGAGGATCAGAACTAAATCACTAATATTTAAACATGCATTATTGTATACAGTACATTTAGCTGGATTTGCATGGCACAGGTCAAGCTGTCTCTCATGTAATGCCCAAAACAGCCAGCTATATTGCATGGGAGAATAGAATCAGTGGGGCATGAAAACCATATATCTCCCTTGTGTGTTCTCAGCACCTTCTAATGAGTAATATGTAGTCTCTGAGTAAGGACTTGCCATTCCAAGTAATGCAATGGATTATTAATGTGTACCATTACTTTATTATCTGCCTTTTATAATATTTTCCTTGTTGGAAAATAGCTGATATATAACAATAACATTTTTGTTGCTGGATCTGCTTTCCTTGTTGATCAGAACAGAGGTCTAGCTGTCAACCATGCTTATAAAAAGACAATCATCTCACTGTCTTGCTATCTGGCATTTAGAGACATCCTACCTGTGTGTCCACAGGCTTCAATTAGATATCAAGTGTAATAGCTGTTGCTGATTATCCTCTGTGCATATTTTCCAGTCAGTTTCTTATTTTATTGCACCGTGTGCTGCGGTTAGCACACTTTGACCATAGTTTGCAGTGGTCATAGTTGCAGAACTGGATCGTGTACCCTGCAAATGTTGTGATTAGTTTTTCCTGGCAGGAATTTAAAAGCAGTGATGTTTAAAAAGTCATTTGTAGAGGCTCTGCTGGACACTTTCATGACTGTTTTTGCTTTTGTATGTTTGGGTTTTTTGCTCTTCCAGAACAATTTTAGGCATGTGGAATTAATAATTGTCCTAGAAAATACTGGAAAACTGCATTGTTGTTCCTTTTTCTGTTTCGCAACGCAAGCTATGTTTTGGAACTTGTTTCTTCTTTTGAAATGGAAATATAAAAAAAAAATTATATAAGCCTAAGATTGGGGACATGTACTCTGCCAAATACTGTAGATTGGAGACAGAAATTGGGTACAAGGCTGCCATCCCTTGCATATAATATGCAGCTTAGCTAAAAGCCACTTAACTCTTGCAGTTGCTTAATCAGATCTTGTATAAATGGCCAATAAAGATCAGCTTTATGTGTTTGGGGCTTCGTTTGTAATTTTTAAAATATGCAATTGGGTTAAAAACCTCCTCTCCCTGTATGTGAGATTGGGTAGCCTATGATGCTCTAGTGTTGGCAAGAACTCCCCGTGTAGCCCAAGGAAGTTTGCAGGAAGAGCTGGGATCTTTGGACCCAATCTTGATAAGTGTGTCTGATGAGGCATTACTTCATACTGGCTAGGAGTTATAGTCTTTGGGGTTCCTTGAAGGGTTGGAAGCAAACAATTGGATTGTTCCAAGTCTTCCATAGAAGATGAGTACGGTATTTTGCCAATAGAAAGTACCTCGTGTTATAGCTGACTCAAATGAAGCAGGGAAAGGAAAATCAGAAAAAAGTGCGATTGAAATATTGCAGAAGCCTCAGTTACAGTTTTCATCTTTTTCACTGGCACCAGAGGTGGGTTGCTGCCGTTTCGGCCGAACCGGTAGTGGAATTCAGGCCTGGGTCGCAGAACCAGCAGCAGCCTAGGCCTGACAAGCCCCTGAACCAGTTCCCTTGCCACCGCTGATGTTGCCGCCATGTTGGATTTTGCCTGACTGCGCGCAGAACAATTTACATTGAACAGTGCATGTGCGTGCAGCACGCTTCTGGTACATGCGCATTGCGAACCGGTAGTAAAACCGGCAGGAACCCACCCCTGAGTGGCAAATAGGGTCAACCCAAGAGTATAGTAAATAACCTGCTGTCCTTATGACCATGTGAATGATGGCATTCATTCCTAGAAATTTTGAAAAGAATTTAAAACTTCTGCATAGGCATGTAACAAATCATTGTGAACACATGGATCTTGAAAACCAAGTATTCTTTTTTTCTTCAGTTGGTATGCTGCTGAATTACGGCAGCTTACAACAGTATCAGACTTCGCTGGGTTCAGACGCTTGTCAGCAAACCTATAAATTCCCACCTGCTAAAAAATGTGAAGTGAGCTGTCGTGTTTTCATAATAAATGTTTTCAGCATTCTTCATTCCTTGTCCTCACATTAATCATTGGTTCTCTATGTTAGATGCATTAGTTAGATGCATTTGCATTGGTGAGGTGCTGATTAAAATTCTTTGTGTTTTGTTTCTTTGTCTCCTGCTTCTTTCCCTTCATTCTGCTACATTTGCATCTTCTGTGCTTCATTCTGAATAGCGTTGGTTAGCAAACTGAAAGGTGGGTGAATTGATGCTGCTGTTTAGACGAAACAACCCTTTTTAGTCTTTCATTTTGTTTCTTTTTTGGATGGGCTCCAAACACTAGACGTTTTAACCTAGGTGTAGTCAAATATATTAGTGTACTGAGTATGAATGAGGTCCATCGAACTTGCTAGCTGTTTTATAGTCAACCAAATTTACATTCTTGCATTTCACTGCCCCTTTTATTGCCTGTCATGTGAAGGACTCATCTTTAGTATTTCCATGGATGCATCATCCATTGAAGAATAATTTGGCTAATATAGGCTCATTTGCTGCTTGCCTCATGATGCTTCCTTGGCATACACTAAATTGGGGAATGGGCAATGTGGTGCCAGTTTAATACCTCCTTTCAGGCTTCCTTGTGCCACTGAGTTTATTCTTATTTTAAATTAATTTGAAAAATTATGTTCTGTCCTTCACCAGGTAAACCTTGCTGGGTTTTTAATCTACTATATTGTTGGGATCTTCAGTATGAATGCTGGCTGGGTTTCTTTGGACCATCACAATCCCTCTTACAGGGTTGTTGTTATGGGAAAATGGGAGGAGGAAGGAGTGAGTTTGCCACCTTGAATATAATAAATAATAAATGTGGGATAAAAAAAAATCCATGTATACATGTCCCAGGATAATGTTGCAGGATCCAATCTGGGTTGGTCACCGGATCTTCCCACTTAGATTGGATCCTGCAAATCCAAAATAAATAAAATCTGGGTAGACTCTGTCTCTGAAATTACACCTTTCTTACAGTAATTATCTCCATTATAAAGAGCTTTTAAGGCAGCAGCTAATGATGAAATTATTGGATTGAACCATTGTTCAATTATTTGCTTTTTCGTTCAGAGTTGGGTATAACATGGAAAAAAGCTGTGATGTCCACGAAAGGATTAGTTATATAATAAAGGTTTTTGTCTTAAGCTGATTATTTAATATTAAAATCTCCATTGTTTTGTTATTTAATATGTGTGTCTGTGTCATGTTAATGAAAGGGAAAATAGATGTACAGAGCAAATTTAGGAAGAATTAAATAGGGAGAATTAAAATAACAAAAAGTAGAAAAAGACAAAACAGACAATAATAAGAAAACCCATTAGGTGCCTAAGATCTTCCTTTTTATATACCTGCTATTTTGCACTACAGGTAGATCTCCATTAGTGCAATTAAAGAATCACAGGAAATAATAATTATTATTTGAACCGGTACTATATGAAATGATATTTCTGTGGTGAAAAATATGGTAATTGATTCCAGCTTGACAGAAATAGGCAATGAAAAATTTTAAACAGAAATTGTATCTATACATTAATGAAATATTGCAAAAAAGGATAAAAGAAATGTACTTTAAATTTATGGTGAACAATGTCACAGAATATTATAGAAAGCAAAATATTTTTTTAAAAAATGACTACAGTGTTAGACATTCCAACATCACTGAAACAATCCTTCTGTTTCATGACATTTCCAACATTTATTACAGTATTTCTTTACAATTTTGCATCCATTTTTTATTTGTTTTGTCTCAGTGTCATATTGCAGTAAAAGTTTACATAATATAAAATTCCCTCAGAGGTGGTGTCAGGTTTGTATTAACATTTCAAACTCTGTATTTCTTTCTTAATGCCCCTCCTTCCTTCTTGAGATCTAACCGTATCGCCTGACTATTTGTAAATTATATCAACAATGGTGGATTCCAGTCTTTGCTAAATAGTACTTGCTGTGTTTTTAGTCTATTCGTAGAATCTGAGCGAACCATATCTACTTATGTAATTACGTATATTTTTCTTGCTGTAATTAACTCCAACATGAAAAAATATTCGAAGGAGAAGCTAGAGTGCTAAAATACATCTAATAAACTAGCTTTTAAAGTTATGGCAGCTTGAGCAAAGATAGAAGCAGTGTTTCCAGATAATGCTACAAGTGATAGTAGATTAATGGACTCCTTTATGTTATTTCTGTAAACACTTTACAAGATTTGTCACAGTGATACATGGAAGACTGCAACTTATACATATTGCCTCTTAGTTTGGGTTTGATAAGTAGTGTGTGTTAGTTAATTGCTTTAGCCAGCCGCTTTCCTAAAAAAATAGGACACGGGCACAAGGTCTGATTAAGCATTTGATAGCTGGGGAAAACTGATTCTTGATAAATTGTGTCTGTCATGCAGCAGACATCGGAAGCAGTGGGGGTATTCAGCCAGTTCGGAACGATTTGGGTGAATCAGTAGTAGCAACCTGTAGGCAGACCCGCCCCGCCCACCTGCCCTGTCGCTATGCTGTCCTATTTAGCCATGTTTTCCATGTGCACGGAAGGCTGCACACATGCGCAGAAGGCACCACTCACAGTTTTGGTGCATGCGAACCGGCGGTAAAATTATGTGAAACCCGCTCTGATCTGAGGTTATAATTTCCATCTGAGAAAGTCTTATTGGCTACAATTCTAGTTTAGCTTACTAGTACAAAATAAGCCTTCAAGGTTTTGTGCGTGGAATCTTTTTCCCCCCTACAATAAATAGCTTCCTCTTTTCCTCTGTCACTCATAATACACCTCTGACCAAGAAAGTTGAGTTTATTTGTAACAGTGTTGATATTCCCTCTTTTTTGTAGAAGCCCCGGAAGCTAAAGCACCTAGTCCTTCTATCAGTAGGCAGGTCAGCATCGAAACCGATAGAGTGTCCAAGGACTTCATTGAATTTCTTAAGACCTACAATAAGGCTGGCCAGGAGATCTACAAGCAGTGCAAACTGTTCCTGGATACGATGCATCGCAAGCGGGTGAGGCATTCTTGCAGAGGGAGGGTTTTGCTGGCCTTGGTGACTCGTTTGGGCTTTTCTCTGCAGGGGTGAAATTCTGGAAGTGGGGAACAAGTAGAGGATCAAACACCTTTCATGGTGAAGGTAGCAAAAACTTTAGAAGGGGGCCAATAGGAAATTGAATGATCTTTAGGTATGACCTGATTGTTGGGAAGCAATCCATAAACATGATTTTTAAAGAAGAAAAGTATATTGCTTTTATGTGAGATTAGGAGATTAAGGGGAGGTTTTTGCCCAAATGCAGATAGTCCTTGCTTAATGATCAGTTGCTTAGCAACTGTTTAAAGATACGATGAATGCCCCCCACCCCCCGGAATTACTTATGATCCAATTCTGGAGGTCCGGTGTTGACAAACACACACATTTCTGCGGTCATAGAACTGGTTTATTTTTAGGGCTGCAGTCGTGATCATGATTTACAATTATTTTTGCTAGTTTCTAGCTGTGGTGGTGCAGTAGTTAGAACGCAGTATTTCAGGCTAACTGCCGACTGACAGCAGTTCAATCCTGAACTGGCTCAAGCCTTCCATCCTTTTGAGGTCGGTAAAATGAGAACCCAGATTGTTGGGGGCAACATGCTGATTCTGTAAACTGCTTAGAGAGGGCTGCAAAGCACCATGAAGCGGTATATAAGTCTAAATGCTGTTTCTAGCAAAAAAATACCCATAGGAATGAGTGGACTCCCTTAATGACTGTTACATTTGCTCTCTGACTGCTGCAGAAAAGGTCATAAAATTGGGTTGATCCTGTGGGTGGCTCGACTTATAACCATCATGATTTACAATGGAAATTCTGGACTCTGTTATGGTCATAAATTGAATACTACCTGTAGTTTACTTTTTAAATAGGAGAGTCGTATTAGTTTTGTTTACAACACCGAAATACAGAGAGCAAAATTTTTTCTGATCTACTAATATGTATAGAGTCGTCATCTCTTCCCAAGAAATATGATAATGTGTTTACTATATTTATGAAATGAGCAAGCTAATATACAATTCTTACGATCAATAGCTTAGAAATTGCCAACTTGGAACTGCAGACTGTGGTATTTTAAAATTTGGTAGGGTGGAGAGGGGGGAGACTTTTGCTATTTTCTTTAAATACATTTCACAATTCAAAGTTGTAAGCTGCCCAGATATGCTCAATAGTGAGATGGGCAGCATATAAATTGGAAAGGGAGGGAGGGAGGGAGGGTTGCTGGAGGTTAGATTTTCTTGTGTTCCATTTTTAGGGAGAAATGCTTGTATGACCAAATCTTTTCTGACATTTCCCAGCACTGATTGCCCTTGACATGACCTCTCCTTCTTCCTGGATATTAAATGTTTTTCATCCTCTCTAAGAAACTTCGCATCTTCTCCAAGGGTCTTACTAAAGTTACTAGTTGACCTGAACATAAACGATATGATCTGGAAAAAGATATGCAGCCTCTAGTGTCTGCCTTATGCTGTCTGGTTCTGTGAAAAGTTCAGTGTGTTATTTGTAAGATTGGGACCTCCACTGACAGCTATAGGGCGGAAGGAAGAGCAACAGGTTCTACCACCTTGGATTTAATCTGGCCAATGAACAGAATAAGAAATACTTGGATTTTATGAGATCTCAAATTTGGGGCATTGCCCATTCTCACACACATGACTGGTTTCTCTTTGTAGGAGTTGAGTGTTGAGGAACAGTCTGAATATGCTCAGAGCCTCTATCAGAATGTGGCAGATAAGCTACAGACTCGCTGGAAAGGTATTGTTCTTACATATTTTTCCATTTTATTTATGAAACTGGGAAGAGAGAAAGGGTAATAACCATTATGGATACGATTTTAGATGTGCTTCTTTATGTCTCTGCTTGTAATGGACTTGATGGGGTGGGAGGGCTTTTGCCTCGATGATGCTGGGGGAACACATTTTGGTCCCTATTGTACAAAGAAGAAATCCTTCACCAACGCAGTATGGATGAAGGCTAGCCCAAGAGGGATCGAAAGTCCTGAACCCAGCCTTTCCAGAGTCCCCCAAGTTCAGAATTTAAATTGCATTTTTATTAAAAGGGGGTTGAACAGATAAAGATAGTCCTCAACTTATGACCGCAATGGAGCCCAAAATCCCCATGGCTAAGCAAGACAGTTGCTAAGCGGGTGTTACCCTGTTTACAACCTTTCTTGCCACAGTTGTTAAATGAATCACTGCAGTTAAGCTAGCAACACGGCGGCTAAGTGAATCTGCATTCTTCTCCATTGACTTTGCTAGTCAGAAGTTCACAAGAGGTATGATCACATGACATCAGGACACTGCAACTTCATAAATACACGTCAGCTGCCAAGCGACCAAATTTTGGTTACCATGGGGATGCTGCAGTGGTTGTATGAAAAATGATCATAAGCCACTTTTTTCAGAGCCATTTGTTTGGTCCCTAAACAAATGGTGGTAAGTCAAGGGCTCTCTGTATGTGGAAATCATACAAATGAACCTTCAGGTATACCAACAGTCCTTAACTTACAACCATTCATTTAATGACCATTTGAAAAGTTACAGTGGCGCTGAAAAAAGTGACTTATGGCCAGTTCTCACACTTAAGACTGTTGCAGCATTGCCAGAGTCACGTCATTGGACATCAGGTGCTTGGCAACTAGCATGTGTTTACAATGGTTACAGCCTCCAAGGACCTGGAATTATCGAAGTCAGTAGGGAAAGCCAGGTTCACTTAAAAACTGCATGATTTGCTTAACAATTGTAGTGATTCGTTTAACAACCAGGGCAAAAAATCATAAAATGGGGCATTGCTCACTTAATTGCTTTGTTTAGCAATGAAAGTTTTGGATTCAGTTGTGATCGTCTTATTTTTTTTCTGGGTAAAACTTTGTGAAAAAACCTTCTCTACTTTCACTGGTGACGTTGCTAAGGAGTTTTTGGCTACAGACTGAAGAATGTTCTGTTAGGCTCTTCTTGGCATTTATTCTGCCTAGTTGCAAGGTTCCATTTAGCTGCTGGCTTATTTTGCACTATGCTCACCTAATATTTATAGCAAAGCTTATCCATGAATGATGCAAAGAGGGCTTTGATTTTCAGTTTCCTTGGACTCAGAGGGATGTCTGGCTCAAATCACCTTCCATGCCTAAAAATGCATTGGAACCCGGGTTTCCCTGCTTCTACTCCAGCACCTTAACTACTACATTATACCCGCTCTCAAACAATATGTTACTGTAGGTGATGTTTTAATAAAAGGAGGGTAAAAATTTCAGATTCTATCTAACTTCAAACATTTGCTCTGATGATATGAGGAAGAAGCTGGATGTGTTAGAACTCTCCTAATAAGCACTTAGTTCTCCATATTAGAGTACTCTGAAATTTGATATACCATATTAATTAATAATTACCTTTGGCCTCTGCCTCCTAGCAATTTGCCTCCTTACAGCAAACAGCCTGGTCAGCTTCAGCACAGCTTGATTTAGCATGAGCCACTGCTTGGTGGTTGGATCAGCCTCACGGAATACCGCTTATCAGCTATTTCAGGATGCGGGGATCGCTGCCGCCATCTATCACTGCCTCTGCATGCCCTATTTTGGCCTTCACGTGTCCCATTTTGGCCCGTTCCAGGCGGCGGGGATAGTGGCAGTGGCGGCAATCCCTGCTGCCTGGAATGGGTCAAAAACAGGACATGCAGAGGCAAAAAAGTGGCACGCGGAGGCCGAAGATGGGGCACGCAGAGGCGGTGATAGGTGGTGGTGGCGATCCCTGCAGCCTAGAACTGCTGATAGGTGGTATTCTGGGCGGCCAATCCAACCACCAATCAGCTTCTCGTGCTAAATCAGGCTGGGGTGAAGTTGACCAGGCTGTTTGCTGTTTGCTGCAAGGAGGCAAATTACTGGGAGACAGAGGCAGATTTTTTTTTCATGCTTTCTTCCCCAAAAGCTAGGCGCATCTTATAGTCCAGAGCGTCTTATAGTCTGAAAAATACAGTAGTTTTCTTATACAAAATTTTAGTGCTCCCCCACTCTCCCACTCATGTTCCTAGCTCTTCTTTTAGACTTCGTTTGTGTGTGTGTGTGTGTGTGTGTATGTATGTACACAGAAAAACAGACACACAACTTTCTGTTTTAATGCATGTCTTTTATATCTTCTAACTTTTCATATTTTTAAGCCCTAGTGTAGCTTTTATGCTTTTTAATTGATGTATATTCAGTTACAATCTATATAGTCCATGATGATTATAAAAATGTGTTCATCTCTGTATTTTTTTCAGTGCCTCCAGAAAAGGTGGAAAAAGTGATGGATCAAGTGGAGAAATACATAATGACCCGCTTGTATAAATACGTTTTCTGCCCGGAAACCACGGAGGATGAGAAGAAAGATCTGGCTGTCCAGAGAAGAATCAGGTTTGACTTTTGGACTAGTTTCTCTCTTTTAGATGCAGGATCCATTGCTATTTGTTACCTACTTGTACCTGGATGATCCAGGCTGTAGCAGCTCTTCTCTTACCCTTCTCAGGTTTCTCTTTGAGGTGGCTAAACTTTCAAAAGCTGCACTATTGCCAACAGGGAATTATTACTCTTACTGTTTATAGGCCATCTAATCTATGGTATGTAGTGTTTCACTTCATTGTCTCCCTTAGAGAAAGGCCATGCCAATCCTTAATTATTTTATTGGAATAGCCCATATTAAATTTATGGTCAAAATAAAGAAGAAAAACTTTTACAGTAATATTAGTAGTTTGAGCTTTTGTGCAATAAAGTTAAATACATACATCATACAAACAGCAGCAAAAAACAGCAAATGTTTGTATCCTTGTGAAGGATTTAAAGGTCCAATATAATTTAGATTTCTCAAAGGGAGCAGTGAGACCAATTGAACTTTATACTGATCTCTTTTCTCTAAAAGAGCAATATGTGAAGAACCTAGGGGGATTACTCAATTTGAAATATGTTGTCTTGAAAGCTCTACTTAAAATGTTTTGCATTGCTTTCTTTTGTCACAGTCTTTAAAAAAAATATTTTAAAAGTTAGTGCCTACGTGGACAAATATCAACTGATAAATGTATTTCCCTGTGAATTTCTAAAAGTCAAATCATCCAGACATTTTTTTTCAATAATTTCAAAAACATTGTAGAGCTTGGGGAAATAATTTCTAGAGAGAAAACATAGATGCATTGCAGTCTAAAATGCCATCTTTCAGACTGTATTATAGTTATTGATGAAATGCTTTATATTTCAAAATATACTTTTGACAGGAAAATGGAAGAATAGTACAGATCATATATTCAGTATCTTGATTTGTCAGATGTCATCTTTTTCAATTTCTGACCTAGTTGCCTGCTATGCCCAATAGATTGACCCCAAACCGACCAAGTGCCTAGGACTGTGATGGTGAACCTATGGCACACGTGCCACAAGTGCCATGCAGAGTCATATTTGGTAGCACACCAGCTGTCAGTTCTGCTGCGCATGCGCGTGCTGGCCAGCGGGTTTTTCGTCTTTCCAGAGGAGGACCAGGGGAGGCCCTTTTCGCCCTCCCCAGGCTTCAGGAAAGGCTCCAAAGCCTGGGGGGGGGGTCATCCNTTGTGGATTTGGGGTTTTCAGGGGCTCTAAGCCATAATCATCGCAATTATGACAAACCACGGCTTGAACTATCTTGCTTTGCATGTAATGAGTCTATCTCATATTAGTTTCACCTTTTAAGTTGCATTACTGAAATAAATGAACTTATGCACGATGTTCTAATTTTTCGAGTTTCACCTGTATACTTCAGAAAGGGAATGCATTGGCAAATTTCTAATGAATGCTGTAATTGAGCAATTTTTGATCATATTACTTTATTTTTTATTACTGATATTATTGTTATTAAGCAGTAATTTAAACTATCTTCCACAAAAGGTTTCATTAACAAAGTTTACAACCTATTTTAAGAGCCACATCAAATAGTTTGTGTATGAATGGAGCTGATGTGTTAACTCTATGCAACCTGAAAGAATTGATGCTCTTCCTTTTGCAGTGTTGCGCTGTTGCCTTCATAGAGAAGCTGGATGCTCAGTCTTTAAACCTGAGCCAGGAAGACTTTGACCGCTATATGTCCGGGCAGACCTCTCCAAAGAAGCAAGAACCTGAGAACTGGCCAGCCAACGTCTGTGTGGGGATGCGCCAAATGTACAGGAACCTTGGCCTCCTCTCACAACTGAATGAGAGGCAGGAGAGGATTGTCAGTGAGGCCAAAAAGCTCGAGAGGGACCTTATTGATTGGACTGATGGAATCACCAAGGAAGTCCAGGAGATTGTGGAGAAGTACCCTTTGGAGATTAAAGCCCCAAACCCAGCCTTAGCGGCCATTGACTCTGAAAATGTTGAAAATGACAAACTGCCCCCTCCACTGCAACCTCAGGTTTACGCTGGATGAGAATGGCTTCGGGACTCCTTCCTTCTAGTTTTTTCTGCTTGGCAGATGGGCTAAGGGAGGGGGAAAATGAAACAAGTTCAAAATTGGCACATTTTAAAGGTACTTTTTGTTGGTGGATGTGTTCCATGATATTTATTTTAGTCAGAGTTGGTTACTATGAGGGCTGAATTTTTATGTGTTCCTGAAATGAATTTACCTTTCCTTTTTACAGAAATTCAGTATGATTTTTAAGGAATGCTTTGGGGGTTGTTTTCTTCGAAGTATGGACACGTTTTAAAATCAGCTGGTGGTTGGTTGTGCTATCTTCACTACCTTAAACAGAGTTGCTTATCACATTTTGCCAAGAATGCTGTGTTTGAGAAAGAAGTGCAAAGGGTTCTTAATCTTTGTTTTCAGAAACAAATGTGTTGTAAAGTAAATATTTAAGATTGTAAATAGGTTTGAACGTTGAGCAATGTCTTAATAACATGACATTTAGCAAAGAATGGAAGCTGGGTTTTTAAAATTCCTTCACTCTTGTTTTTGGTTTATAGTTTTCATCTAGAATAGGATACACCAAGGAAACACTACATTGTAGTAAATAACATATTTGGGCACAGTTCTAACATGACTAAAGTCATTTCCTAATATTTATAATTTCTTATCTGAATTTTCAGCCTGGAATAGCGTTTTTTTTTTTTTTTTTTGCGGTGCTGGTCTCTAGCAATGGCACCTTCAGAGCACAATTGGATGGTAGCTATGGGTGTATGTGTGAAGTGCTGGAGCCAGTTTGAATTGTTGTAAAGATCACATGATACGACACGTTTCTGGCTGTAAAAGTGTTTTAGTGGTTTTTTAAAATTCATTTGCTTCATAGTACTTGTGCATAGCCTTCCAAGAAATGATTAGAATGGCATGAGACTGTCTTGTGCTGGAAAAATATATATCAAAGAATGTAGAAAAGAAAGTGTACAATTGCTTTCCTGAATCACATTTTTGAATGGATTCATCCACGGAATTATAAATGGTCAGAAAACAGAAATTGGACAATCCTAAAGGCAGTAAGCTGGCTTATGCAATTTTGTGGACTACATACATTTTTATATGAATTTGAACAAAGTAGGAATCTATATTATTATATTGCTGAACTCCAGCTTCCAGGATTTGTCTTGATTGCTATGATGGCTGGTATAGCTGTCTCCTTCAAGGAGGACCCATTGCTTTCCCAATTCTTTCAGTGCTGTCCTGAAGATGAAGCCCATTGGTGATATCTCCAGTCCCTCCCTCCCTTCTGTAACTCATCAACATATCACTGTGAATGGCTGCCTTTTCTTCTCTTCCAACCTTTTCAGTATTCTTAGTAGTGTGATAATCCAGCCAGTCAGTCACTCACAATCTTCTCTCTTTGGTCAAAAATCTAGCATGGCTGTGTGGATGCAAGAATTTGCCAAAAGGGATGAACTAGTTAGTCTTCCCCAGCATGTTAAGACTATAGTAGTTTTTTTTTTCCTGAGCAAGATGCACAGGTTAAGATAATAGAACTGTAGTTCAGGAGATACAGGGAGGGCACCAGGTTAGGAAATGCCGAATTTGTCTATGGGTGATGCTTTTTTAACTTTTAACTTTACAAATTAAGGTAAAGATCCACTTTAACTTGGCAGATCTGGGATTCTTTGAAAGGCCAGGTTGAGTTGTGTGAAACTAAATTAAGCATTTTCCTGAAGGATAACAGTTTAGATGTAGTCCCATCCCCTGTCCCCCAGTTGCTAAAGTCATCCTAAATGTCTGGGCCTTGTGTGTGCATTCAGCATCTTTGATATCCTGATTATCACTAAGTCTCAAACAAACCTCATAATTCAAGGAAAAGGGAGGAAAAAACCCCCCTCTTTGCAATGTTACCTGTTTTTAATATTAGGACACTTTTAAAATACCAACTCTCTTTCTTAAGCTCGTCTCAACTCTTTGAGTCTTATTTGTACTTCTGGTAAACATGGGATTCCAAAGTGTTCCATTCCATATGTGTTTTTGGGCAACCTATGAAAAAAGACATCTTTATCACATTTTAGCTGTAGAGCTATTTATCTGTTTTTGCAATAAGGTCAGACCAAGACTGTGACCTGTTTTGTGTATACCTGCTTTACAAACCATATCAGCTTTCAGTTTGCAACTCAGCTAATGTCTGAGTTTCTTAAAAGGTTAAATATTTATGTTCTTTTCTCTTCCTCAGTTAAATTTGTGGAAGTAAACAAGCTGTTCCTTTGGTTGCAGAAAGTCCATGTTGATCAGATTTTTCAATTTTCAGAGCTTTGTTTCTTGGCCTCATTGTTTTGACACTCTAGGTGCTAATTCAGATTTTCCAGGTATATATTTCACTCCAAAAAAGCATCATTATAGCTACCGCTGTTAAATTGCTGTCAACAGAAATAAACCGTGTACAACATGACTCATTATTGGTCAACAGAAATCTTGATTTACAATTTTTTATGTTTCATTGATGCTTCAAGTTTAGCCACAAATCTTTTAAAGCCTGAAAAGCTTGTAACTGCTAATAGTATCAAATTATCTTTAATTATATCTTATTACTCTTGGGGGCAAAAAAGAGACCTCACTTTCAATTATAAAATTGAGTGTTAGTCGTCCCCCCCTGTAATCTAATAGGAAAGAACCAAGGTCACTGCTTCCCTTCCTGAACAGTGTCAGGGTGACTTTTCTACACCATTCATTTCATGATATGTTTAAAAGTGATAAATTATTTTATAGAATCTGGCATGTCATACAAGGCCCACAAGGCTTTAGGTTCAGAGAAAATTAGTCTCCTTTTGGGGATTTCCTTAGAGGCTTGTAGCTGGGAGACTCAAAGAACCACCATTGGTACAGGTAGTCCTCAGTTTAGAACCATTTATTTATTGACTGTTTGAAGTTATAACACATTGGAGGGCGGGAGTTTTGACCAATCTTCACACTTACAACTTCCATAGTCATGTGATTGGAATTTAGACCCTTGGCAATTGACATGTATTTATAACAATTGCAGTGTCCCAAGGTCAGGCGATCCACATTTGTGACTTCCTATTTCTACAAACAAAGTCAATGGGGGAAGCTGGATTTGCTTAATGACTGTGTTTCATTAACAACTGCAGTGACTTGCTTAACAACGGTGCTAGGAAAGGTTGTAAAATCAGCCACCTTGCTTATCAGTGGAAATTCTGGTCCCAACTGTGGTGGTACGTTGAGGTCATAACACATTCTAAAGCGGTGTCTTTAAAGGGGTGGTGGCTGGGAATTCTTGGTGTTGAAGTTCACACATCTTAAAAGTTGCCAGGATTAAAAAATGCAGTTCTAGACTTCTAGGGAAACTGTACAAAGGGCCCTCCTATTTCACACCTGCCCAAATAGTTGCCCTTGGTAGCAGGCAAAATGCTGGCAGACTTATATGGATGGAAGTGGTATAACATATTCAAAAAGGTTTTAAAAAGGGAGGTTGTAACCTGCAAAATTGACAACGTGGCTCTTCAGTTCCTTTGGTGCATTCTGGTTTCCTCTGAAAGCCAGTTAACTTTTTAGTAATGCATATAATTGTCACAATCCCCAAAAGCGCTGAGGAACAAAATGATATTTGTGTATGTGCCACAAGGGTATTGTTAAATATCAGGGGTTATAAGTATATTAAATATCCTCAACTGTTAATTTTAAGTAAACAAATATGTGTTTTATCCTTTGCTTTGAAGTTGCTCGTGTCACTCAAAGCCACACACAATTTCTCCGTAAGGATTGCGTGCCACCTGCTTCTGGTGTTACAAAAAGTGGTTTAAATAGGGCTTAGAAATATGCCTACAACCAGCATCCCATAGTACCTCACAGACAGACTATTTAATTTGCAATTACATTTCTGGGGAGGGTGGGGGAAATGCAGCTGGATGTTAAAAACAACAATGAACCCTTAGGAATGCAAGGAACATCATTTCCCATTAGTGGCAAGTTAGCTTTTGCCACCTCCTTCTAAAATGTTGAGATTTGTAGTAAATTGGCTTTCCCTCGGCAGCCTGACTCCCCTCCCTTCTCTCTAGTCCTTGAGACAGAAAACTGACTAGGTGAGAATCAACCAGCTAGTTTTAATTCCTCTGTGGCACACTAAGAAAGCAGCATTTCTTCTTTAGGTAAAGCTAAAGGTTCCCGTTGCACATATGTGCTAGTCGTTCCCGACTCTAGGGGGCAGGACTCATCTCCGTTTCAAAGCCGAAGAGCCAGCGCTGTCTGAAGACGTCTCCGTGGTCATGTGGCCGGCATGACTCAACACCAAAGACACACGGATCGTTGTTACCTTCCCACCAAAGGCGGTTCCCATTTTTCTACTTGCATTTTTACATGCTTTCGAACTTCTAGGTTGGCAGAAGCTGGGACAAGTCATGGGAGCTCACTCCGTTATGTGGCGCTAGGGATTTGAACTGCTGAACTGCCGACCTTTCTGATTGACAAGCTCAGCATCTTAGCCCCTGAGCCACCGCGTCCCTATTTCCCCTTCAGGGAAGCCAATAAGGAAGCAAAACCAAGTATCTGAGCTTGGTGGAGGGAGGAACCTCTCCCTTCACAGGCAGCAGTCACAACCAACTTAGTTTGTCTCGTGCTCTGTTTCTTTTCTCTTGCAAGAAAATGACCTGGTTACACGTTTCTGTTTAAAGTTCATTTCTTGCTCTTCCTGACATTGCTCTCAGCCATGGGTGGCTTCCACTATCCTTGCTTTCCACCTAATCCAGGAAGCAGATATGTGCGGCTGAGTCATAGCCAGGGCAGGGAGTGGGCAGAGGTGAAATATGATTTATTAGGCTCACAGACATTTCATGGAGATACATCAGTGGTGGGATTCAGCCAGTTCACACCTATTCGGGAGAACTGGTTGTTGGAAGAAATCCCATTTTGTTTTTTTCCACTTTACAGGGCTAATCCTGTAAGGAAGGCAGGAAGGAAACATTCTGGTGTTGTTTCTAGCNTCAGGAAAGGCTCCAAAGCCTGGGGGGGGGGTCATCCACGCATGCACGGGGGGGGGGGTTCTGTACACATGCACAGGTGGGTGGGGAGGATTGAGTGGGCATGCGCACGAGCGCGATAGCATGCACACAATTTTGGCACGCCGTAAGAAAAAGGTTCGCCATCACTGGACTAGGACATATCTGCAGTCATTCAATCTGTAGGGCATAGAGCAAAAACAAGATCTTACGAGGAGCTAATTTTATGCCATGTTACACATTAAGAAAAATTATGTAATTAGGTTTTCTATTCATAAAACCTTTTTGTCTGTTGTCTCACTGGAGATGATAAGCGAGCTCCCTGATACAAAGTTACATGTGAATAGATGAATGCAGCACATTAAGAAAAGATTTACACAAATGTTAACATTTATAATGTTATTTATAAAGACCAATAAAGTTGGCACTGAAGTGATTTTTTCCCCTAAGTACAGTTAGCCAGGGCTTATCACCACAATTGGGACTAGAATTTCCATTACTTAGCCAGGTGGCTATTAATTGAATTGTGCCCAATTTTATATCCTCTTTTGCCAAGGTTGTTAAATGAATCACTGCAGTTGTTAAGTGAATTGTGTAGGTTGATAAACTAATCCGGTAATCAGATAAGCTTCCTCCATTGACTAGTTGCAAGTCACTTTTTTCAGTGCCGTTGTAACTTTGTACGGTCCCTAAATGAAGTGTTGTAAATTGAGAACTACCTCTCTTTTCTGAATCAGATAGATGTAGGACAGAATGCTGATTTTCCAGTTTTGGCAGTCAAAATATATAAAATCAGATAGTTTCTTTTTATTTTCCAGTTATAATCTATAGATGACTTAAAGCAAGCCTGCTATGATCTTTCAAAATGACTGGTTTTAGATGCACCCAGAAATATTTAAAATCATTCCTAACAATGGATTTCCCATGATGTTAATATTGGTCTCTAAAAATTCTGTATGATTTGAGCCAGTTGGTTTAGGATGTATGCAATAAGAAATTAAATAAAGAAAGAAAAACAGATTATTTGTGACTAAATATCTGCTCTCTGCTTTTGTTTCCCAGAATGCAAGTTTTGGGGGCAGAGAGTTTTGTTATTTTAGTCTTGACATGTTAAACTATTTTAAAGGTTTAATAGTGGGTTCCCCCCCTCCCCCTCTTGCTTTCAAATCAACCTGCAGAGCTTTGCACTGGGTTACTCCACAAATGCTTTGTGTTCCTGTCAATGAAGAAATCCCTGAAGTCTCAGACGTAGTTGTGAAAGCTATCACAGGTATGTAAAGGGCTGATGTGTTGGAGAGGGGATATTTATTGATCCTAGATGTTTTCACCACAGTAAAAATCATCAGGTCAATCCCAGGAGCAAACTAGAAGGCTAGTAAGAAGAATGTAAGTTTAACTCATGGTGCCTACATTCCTTTTTTTTTGTAAAAACCTTTTCCGGGAGTGATTTCTCAATAATAATAATAACAACAACAATAATAATTCACTGGAAATTGTGCCAAAAGTTTGGATTTGAAAACAGCAAAAACCACTGGGACTGTCAGAGAAGGTTTTAGAGAATGAGAAAGTCAAGATCTTGTGGGACTTCAGAAGCCAGACTGACAGGCACTTGGCCTACAACACACCTGACATAACAATAATTGAAAAGAAAAAAGTATGGTTCATTGANCTTTTCTTGTTTCAATATGAAATATAAGGTGAGGGGTGCTTGGTGCTCTGAGCTTGGTTGTTTTCCATGCAGACGTTTCATTACCCAAATTAGGTAATATCACAAGTGCCCTGGGTAATGAAACATTTGCAAAAAAACAAACTCCAAGCTCAAATAGCACCAACGACCCCTCATTTCAACCCTGAGCTACAAATATCCTCCTTTATTGAAAAATAAGGTGCCCGCTGCTGATAATTTGAGTAGCTGAAATCTGCAAACTACTGGGAATACAGATGTGATGCATTTAAAAATGAATTGGAACTTGGGTTAAGCAAGTAACGTGGCTGAGTTTGCTACTTAAAACTAAATTATTACAGCTGGGGAAAACTCCAGCAGTCTGAGAAGCTCCAAAAAGACATCTGTCTTCAAACTAGGTCAATGGGCAGCCAAATTTAGCAATGAAGTTCAGTATACGAGTGTAAAGCAATGGCCACTGGGGGAAAAACAGTTAACTATTACCAAAACCATCCATTCCATCTTCAAGCAGCAGTGAAAAATGGAGGAAAAATGGTTATTTGGAGAAGAGCAGGCAATAAATATCACTTTCACCCCAAAGAAAGATGGCCCTGAATTTAAGAAGAGTCGCCACGTCCAAAAAAGATTAGATAGAAAAGAAACCTTTTCATAAACGTTGTAGCTTAAGTATTTTGCTGATTGGAGAAAATGTGCAGAGTGGCTCAAAAAGACATATCTAAGCTAGAACTGATCAATCTGACTGCACTTCTAAATCGATGGCCCTTTGTTTGAGATCAGCTAGGACACATTCATAACCCATCAGAGTGAGTGCTGCCCAGGTAACGTCATTTAAGATTGCAATTCAATAAGGGTTGCCTAGCATCAGGAAGACTAAAAGCTGTCTATCATAATTAAAGGAGCTAAGCCAAGTGGGGAAAAAAAGAGAGCCTAAGCCAATAGAAGAAAATCTAAATTGAAGCAGAGGTTTTGGTTTTAAAAAGGCCAGCTTCACAACAAAACACCACGTTCAGAATGCAGTGAGGTATTTGAAGAATAAATCTCTGAAATTTGGATTTAGAATAGAATAGAATAACAAGAGTTGGAAGGGGCCTTGGAGGTCTTCTNTTCACTAAATTTTATAGATCTATATTTCAGGAACCTATCCTGATCAGAGTGCTTTGTAGATAATTGCATGCATGAATTGGGAGTCTTTATCAAAGGTGGTTGTTTTACTCTTTGCCCGCAACCTCTGTCACACTTTCCTTTCCACATCAACCTTTCGCTCACCTGTTAGATTGCCCAGTCTAACTTTAGTCACTGTACTGGAAATTAACTCTTAACTTTCTTTTCTCTGGTTGTCCTTTGGTCCTGGTTTGAGCTTGGTGGATTGTTTCCTTGTGACCTCTTTTCTCTGCTAGTTGTTGTCCAGACTTGGTCTGATAGCTTCCTTGTTTTTCATCCTTCTCTGCAGAGATTCATTTTATGTCAGATTCAAATCCTATTCATCTGTCTCTCCCAATATTTTATTTCTTGTAATAACCACAGAGGTTCTGGTAAATCAACAATTGCGCATAGGGGAGTGTGCACCATAGCACTTAGCCTTAGCTTATTATGATGTGTGAAGCTAGCTGCCTTGTTTGGTTAGTTTGGAGTCAGTGTAAATGTGATCCTCATTTAGCGACCACAAATGGGACCAGAGGCTTGGTCATGAGGTGAAGGGTTTGCTAAGTGAAACACAATTTTACAATCTTCAGCTTTCCTTTGCTTCACAAAACTGCAGAGTTACTTTTTCATCGCTATTGCAAATGGTTGCTGTACAAGGCAGTCACTAAGCAAGGACTACCTGTTTTGTGCAAAGCCATAAAACAGGTCACTTCAGTTGTACCTGTTTTGTGGGTTTTCAGCAAAACCATAAAAACAGGTTATTACCTGGCTGTGCGTTATCTCTGAATACAAGCAGTTCTGTCAAACTGGCTGGATGACTTTGGATCAGTCACTCACTTTGGAATGTTGTTGTTATGGGGAAAACAGAAGGAAGGAGGAGTGTTCGGTATCTTCCCCATCTTGAGTGATTTGTAAAAATAATAAAGCTGGACAAAAAAAATCTAAAAAGAAAAAAGGGCAGCCCACCATTGACTTTGTCACGACCCAGACAGAATTCTGGAAAGCCCAACTCTAATGAAATGATAGCGTTCCTTCAGCTGATTTTTATTCAACGCTCTCTCCCCTTTTGAATATAAAATATTCATGGCAGTTAAATATTCACAAACTGTTTGGAATGAGGATTTTAAATGTACTAGTTGATGAGGGCGGCTTTTGATAACACAAAGATTTTGTTTTATTTGTTAACCAGCAGGTTTCCTGTACTGTATTGTTCAGATTAAAATCAAATATGGCTAAGACACTGAGCTTGTCGATCAGAAAGGTCGGCCATTCGGCGGGTTCGAATCCCTAATGCAGCATAATGGAGTGAGCTCCCGTGACTTGTCCCAGCTTCTGCCAACCTAGCAGTTCGAAAGCACGTAAAAANTATGTATGTATGTATGTATGTATGTATGTATGTATATATACACATGCCAAAAAACTCTGTATCTGATTATATGTGTGCCTATCTAGATTTTGAGGGAATCCCCAGCACAAGGCAAGATTTCTACCATACTACTGTTTGCTTTTCTTGTGGCTTTTCAGAGCAAGCCAACCTAATTTTGGCTCATTGCTTTTGAAATACGGTGGGTTTTAAATGGTGCCAAGTTGATTTTGCAGCACAGGAGTCCTGCTGAGCTGTCAGAGAATGCACAGATGCTCCAACGACCTGGAAAATTTGGAAGGGGTGTGGGATGCTCCTCCCTGCTATAACTTGACATCAGCAAGAGTAGTCACATTCTGATTATATAGGAGAGACTTTGCGCATCTTGCAAAGTGGCAGTTTGAGGGTTGTAATTTGTAAGCTTTCAACTATTGCGAATCAAAGCAAAGTGGCAACGATGCCTGAAATACAGTCATGCCAGTTTTCTACCCATATTCCCTTTTCTTGCCATATGCGACTGAGGCTTGTATCTTGCTTTGTTACGATGGAAAGCAATGAGAAATGATTTAGGACGATTTAGTAGCTATCTATATAGTTAGCTTGGAAAAAAAATTCACATTTCCATCTGTAAATCACATTCTTTTGCCCAAAATGCCTCTTTGAAGTCACAAGATAAAAGAATGAAAACAAAAGTAAACAGTCACTTTTTATCATACTGTAATTTCTTGGTTTGGGGTAGAGTCAGGGTGACTGGATGGTGCTGAGCATTTACTCGCCGGATGCTCTTCCTGACACCTTAAGTGGAGTTTGTGGAGGTTGCAGAAGGTGAGAGAAACATCTGCCACTGCCTAGGATTGAACTCTCAACCTTCCAAGTGGGAGGTGAGCATCTTTACTACTAGGCCACCATGCCACTCAATGAAAATTAAAAAACAACGATGAAATCAAAACAACGAAAAATATTAAAAGGTGTATTTATTAAAAGAAAACTGGACAATGTAAAAATGCACCAGCTATCACCGACAGAAAGGACGACTCATCCAAATTTTATAGATTTGAATAAAATGCTAAGATACAGAGACTTAATTGATAGACAGGGAAATTTAAAAACAATTGAAGAATTGGCANATAACAATAGTTGAAAAGAAAAAAAGTATGGTTCGTTTATATTACAATACCTGGAGATGCACAAATTGAAGATAAACAGCAAGAAAAAATCATAAAGTACCAGGACTTGCAAATTGAAGTTGAGTGACTGTGGAAAAAGAAATCGTGTGTTATCCTGATTGTAATTGGAGCCCTTGGAGCAATACCTAAAGGGCTACCTCACTATTTGGAAATTCTAAATTTATCTGACTTCAACATTCTGATTCTACAAAAAAACCACCCTACTTGGAACAGCTTATATTGTGCGATGTTACCTTAACAGTTCCTAGTCCTTGGTTAGGACTCGAGCTGTTGAGCTACCAACCAGCCCCAAAGGCTGTGAATCTCACCAAAGATTAACATCATAATGATAATGATAATGTATTGTTATTATTTTATATATATCTTGTCTCATCAACTGGAAAATTGTCATTCAGCAGCTCTCTGAAGTTAGATGTTTAGTTGTGCTACTCTGGTGCCATAAAAATCATTATTAATATTTTATACTGCCTGGTATGAAAGGCTGAATACAATAAATGAGGGTTCATCAATCAAAGCTGTTATAAATAACCTGATTGATTGTAACTGTACCTTTTAGCTGTCAATCATCTGAACCCCCTGCAGAGTCTTATATATGCTATAAAAACAGTTTTAGGGCAGACATATATATATATATATATTTAAGGACAAACGATAATATTCCAGCCAGCAGCATTTTCAAGGCATTCCGTTTCCTCTTAATGCGTAAGAGAAAAACCTCTTTGAAGAATAGCACTAGTACTTGCCATTCTTTTAAGTAGCTGACTATTTAAAATTGCCTAAATTGTTTTGGGGTAATTTGACTTATCAGTGGATTGGTTAATATTAAAACTTGAATTCTTCTTCTTGTACAGCAGGGCTGCTAACTGATAAGGCTCCCCCCTCCTCCTCCTTTCCTAACGTTTTCTCACAAGGGCAGGATCCTTCCCCCCTCCCCCACAGATCAGCTGTATGTTGATTCATTGGCTGCTACAAGAATTGACCAATCAGCTTGTCACCCAAACTTAATGTTGTAGGCTGAAAGAGAGTGATTGATCCAAAGTCATCTAGCCAGCTTTCATGCCTAAGGGGAGACTAGAACCCGCAGTCTCCTGATTTCTAGCCTTTAAAAAAAAGATCCTGTGCAAGATTTAATAAACGATTTTAAGTATGGAGGGTGGGTGGGACAACTAAAGTGGAAAGAGCCCTGTCAATAAATGCAGCCCTCCTTGATTCTTAGGATTCTTTTCCTCTTGCAGACATCATTGAAATGGACTCGAAGCGTGTCCCCCGGGACAAGTTGGCCTGCATCACTAACTGCAGCAAGCACATATTTAATGCCATCCGGACCACAAAGGCTGAGCCAGCTTCAGCTGATGACTTTTTGCCCACTCTCATCTACATTGTCCTGAAGGGCAACCCACCCCGCCTGCAGTCCAACATTCAGTACATTACTCGGTTCTGCAATCCCAGCAGGCTGATGACCGGGGAGGATGGCTATTACTTTACGAACCTGGTAAGTAGATCTGTGATCGTGACTTTCTTTTTAGGGGAATTTGAAGAACGACATATTGCCAGATGCCAAAACTATTTTTCTTGTTTTCTCTTAATGGAAGATAAGCTGAACCTATCACAATCATCATCATTATTTATTTAAATGTATTGGCCGGCCAACAATTTTTGGCTCGTCTGGTTCAGTGCCCTTATTTCTGGCCTTCAATGTTACATCAACAAGCTTGTGCTTGGCATGTTTTCAGGATCTTGAACGTACAGTCTTGAGGCACTATGGAGAAGCTATAGGATGCACATATATCAAGGAAATCTAACATCCTGTGTTCATGCAGATAATTAATATATTGAATATATTGAAAAATACCAACCTTCTAGCTCTTGCTGTTGAAATACCAGAAACAAAATCTACATGTATTTTAAAGGGAAAAAAAGAGGTCTGCAATAATAACTATTCCAATATTCTTGCCATGTTTGCCAAATAGGAATGGGAAGCCAAGTATGACTGAATTGTTGCACAGAACTAAAATTAAAACTAGGAAAACTTTGATTGGGTTTGTACAATGAGCTACAGTGGAGTTGTGTACTTAGCTATTCATTGTGTGATGGGAACCCAGCCAAAGCATTAACATGTTTTTAACCAGGTCATTATATTAACCCAAATATAGTTTCTTTGTGCAAGTTTTGTGTGTTATTAATCCAGACCTAGATTCAGCATGACGTTTGGTATACATTTGAGGAAGTGAAGGTATGGAAGCTTTAAAAAACCAACAGTGCATTTTCTGTATTTATTTGTGTGATTTATCAACTACTTCAACTGCCATGGACTCTGGGTAGTTTATTATATTACTCTATAACTGATGATGGTCTAGGCCAGTGGTTCCCAAACTTGGCAACTTTAAGACTTGTGGACTTCAACTCCCAGAATTCTCCAGCCAGCAGCTGGCTGGAGAATTCTGGGAGTTGAAGTCCACAAGTCTTAAAGTTGCCAAGTTTGGGAACCAGTGGTCTAGGCGAGGCATACTCATTACTCACTTNGGCAACCCCTGAGATATTGGAACACTGCTATCATGTCTCCCCTAGTCCTTCTTTTCATCAAACTAGACATACCCAGTTCCTGCAAACGTTCCTCATATGTTTTAGCCTCTAGTCCCCTAATCATCTTTGTTGCTCTTCTCTGCACTCTTTCTAGAGTCTCCACATCTTTTCTACATCTAACATCTTTTTTACATTTAAGACAAGATGTAGGAAGTCTTCCTTAGAGACAAATATTCCATTTACTGTATGTAGGTCTGTGTATTTGCTGGCTGAGTTTGTCATATTGGTATTAGCTCTCAATCCCATTGCAAAAAAGGATCCTGTAGGGAAACTTTAAATTTATGGGGGTAGTGGTGGTTTAAAGTTCTTTTGTAAGAGGCCATTGTTTATTCTTTATTGCAGAAAAAAAGAAATAAGGAGCATGATATTTTGCTTGCCATGGCGAAATTGGATAGAGATGGTTTTTTATTCTCCATCTCGTGCTGAACAAGAATAGCCTTAATTGCCAGGATATGCAGACAAAAGTAATTACACCCTGAGACAGTCTTTGAAAGTCCTTTGCCCCCAAATGTGATAGTCGGTAGCTAAGGAGGTTTTAAAAACAGGTCCATCCAACGTATAGTTCAATATTTGAATTTATCAAGTGGCGCGTTTGTTTTCATACAAGGCAATAAAGAAAATCAATTAAAATGTCGTTCCAAGACTGCAGACTCTTGGCATATTAGGCTGCGACTTCTGGGAACAAGTACAGCCGTGAAAGCAATTATATTGACATAGGCCTACTTCTCATTAAACCCAAAATTAAACGTTTATTTGGTGTCTCTCAGAGTTCCAGAAAGGACCTAAGGTAAACTGAGAAATGTTATCCCCCCATGACATCTTTCCCTGTTCTCTCGTAATCTCTTGACTTCAGCCTACTAAGATACATGCTGCTGTTTCAGTGGAACAGGGAGAATTTGGTGCAATTCGCTTCTAAGAATTTCTCTGTTCCTTTTTAAAGCTGGGGAAAATGCCTGTGTTTTGTGATTAGAGAATGGCTTGCAAAAAAGGCTTGGACTTTAGCCAAACAAGGTTTTCTGAAGCTCAGCCAGTGGTGGGTTGTTCCCGTTTCAGCCAAATTGGTAGAAGCAGCAATGGGAGGCTCCGCCCAACCACCCGGAAGCTTCTGTGCATGCTCAGAAGTGTTGGGCGCATGCAGGAGCATGCCCGAACCGATAGTAAAAATATTTGCAACCATCACTGAGCTCAGCAGAGGTCACGAGGTGAGTTAAAAATCCCTGCCTCCAGCTGATGGAAGTGAACTGCAACAATTATACTTCTGAATGAGATGTAAGGCAATACTGATGTTTACTAGATGGTAAGTGTGATAGTTGAAAACAGCTGTTAATTGGAATGCGAGAGCTGCAGTGTCTGGGAAAATGATTCAAAATAGATAAAAGTAGAGCTTCTATAAACAAAGGATGATTCCTGGGTTTGGAAGCAAAGGAGAGCAGCCACTTGGGTGGAAGAGCACCAGAAAATCTCAATGCTGTAGGCTATAGAGAGGGGGGAGGGAGGGAGGATGGGATGGAGGGAGGGAGGGAGAGAGAGAGAGAGAGAGAGAGAAAGAGAGAGAGAGAGAGAGAGAGAAGTAACATAAAGGTACATACACATTACACATATGCTAGTCATTCCCGACTTTAGGGGGCGGTGCTCATCTCCATTTCAAAGCCGAAGAGCCAGCGCTGTCCAAAGACATCTCCGTGGCCATGTGGCTGGCATGACTAAATACCAAAGGTGCACGAAACACTGTTACCTTCCCACCAAAGATGGTTCCTATTTTTCTACTTGCATTTTTACATGCTTTTGAACGGCTAGGTTGGCAGAAGCTGGGACAAGTAACAGGAGCTCACTCCCTTATGCAGCACTAGGAATTTGAACCACCAAACTGCCAACCTTTCTGATCTACAAGCTCAGCGTCTTAGCCATTGAGCCACTGCATTCCTACCATTCTAGAGGAGGTAGGGATAAATGATCTCTTTACCATGGCAAAAGAAACAACAACTTCACAAAGTTCCCAGGAACTGAGCTCAAGGCAAAGGAAACTTTACTTTGGGGATATTTGTATGCATGTATGTGAGTTTCCTTTAAAACAGATTCATCAGGGAAGCCATAACAGAAGTATTATGTGCTCTGCGGAAACATAAGACAAAACTATGCAACTAATCTGTGGCAATAATTATATTATTGCAAGTAAAAACTGATGGGATCACAAAATAGACAGAGTAATAGAAAACGAAGACTTTAACATGCTCTGGGACTTTTGAATTCAAACAGATAAATGCCTGCCACATAACACCCCAGACTTAACAAGTGTTCATAAGAAAAACAAGCCTGGATTGTGGATGTGGAACTTGGAGGCAACAGAATAGAATAGAAAGAACTGGGGAAAATGACAAAAACACAAAGACCAGCAAGTGCCACAAGTAAAATGACTGTGGCAAAAGAAATCAAAGAAGGTACCAATCGCAATCAGTGCTTTGGGTACAATCCCAAAACATCTGGAAGACCACTTGAACAGCATCAGCATTGATAAAATCACCATCAGTCAATTGCAAAGTGCAGCTTTACCTAGAACAACTTACATCCTGTGATACTTTTAACACTATCAAACAATATCTATTGCAGTGGATAAAAAATCATATCTAGTGTAAACATCTGGCTGACTGTGCAACCAACCATGACAATAATTCACCACCAGGAACAGTTTACATCTTGAATGATATCTTTAATACTATTAAACAACACCTGCTTGTTCCAAGCCTATTGGAAGGTAGGTGGACAAAAAAGACTCTATAGGTGGATAAAAAAGCAGAGTCTAGTTTAAACATCTGGCTTTGTAACTAACCACAATAATCTCCAAATATTATTTTGTCTCCAATATTTGGCAGTAGGGCTACAGGGATTCTGGGAGTAGCAATAAAAGCAGAGGGAGATGTTATAAATCACCTATAGCCCTAGGACTACAAGTTTCTAACATCTAATACAATATAAGGTAAAATGCCACTGCATTCCTTACTTGTAGACAATCTGTCTAAGTTGTGGCACATCTGTGGGAAGCCAGTTTTTCCTTTAAAAAAAAATCTGTACAGTCAAAATGCTGTTTGAAAGCACCACCAGTCTAAGGGACTATTTTTCAAACTTGGCGACTTTAAAATGGGTGGACTTCAACTCCCAGAGCTCCCCTGCCAGCATGGAGGGTTGATGTCTTCAACCTCTTGGAGTGCAGAAGGTGTTGAATGACATTTCCAGATCTTTTCCTTCCTTAATAAGGAGGACCCTGTATACTGGTACTCTTTGGCAATATCTTGCGTACCGTCAAAAGATTGCTTAGCTACCATACCCCCCACTGTTAATAAAAATATAGCCCTCTTCAAAGTTAAGGATGGAGGATGCAAAGCAGGTTTTAACTAAATGAATCCTGGTCTAATTATGGTGAGTCATTTATTGGATGTATCTCAATACAATCTGTCATACTTGGCACATTTAGAGAAAAATTGCATGGTGGCCAAATGCATCCAAAATGCATTTGAAATCAAGCCTTCTTGGGTCTCTATGCACTTATTTCTGGAGGTGCAGATATGAATTGTGAACAGGTTGCCATGGTCAGATTCTGTCATCTTTTGAAATTTCCTAGATGAACAAGATTATTTCAGAATTCCTGTGATGCTGGGAGAAAATTTGCAAGATCTGAAGGTTTCCACAGTGAAATACATTTTGGATTGTTGTCTTCATAGTCTTTAATCTAAGCCATGTTCAGTTTAATACCACTCCTATATATATGTATATGTAGCATTTGTGCTGATAAATAAATAAAGGGAGACTAGTATAGATCTATTTCAAGCTATTTAGCTCTCATCAGCTAGCCATACCCTTACTNTATCCTGGGCCCAAGTCATGGAGCGCTTTAAAGGTCATAATTAGTACCTTGACACTTTGCGTGTCAGAAGGTTGCAAAAGATGTTCATATGACCCCGGGATACCGCAACCGTCATAAATGTGAGTCAGTTGCCAAGCATCTGAATTTCAGTCATGTGACCATGCAACAGTTGTAATTGTGAAAAATGGTTCTAAGTCATTTTTTCAGCGATGTTGTAACTCTGAATGGTCAGTAAATAAGCTGTTGTAAGTCAAGGACTACCTGTATGTAGAAAATTAGCATGCCAAGAAAAAATAGGTTAAACTGTTCTCCATATGCTTCCAAACATCTTTTAAAAAGAATCTGATTTTCAGCTCAGCT